GGAACTGTGATGAGCTATCAATCTCCCATGCATATACATGTGCACACACTCACACATGCTCTGAGTAACTGTGATGTACTCAGCTGTCGGCCCTATTTGACGCAGGCTACACATTAGTGTGCAGCTGAAGAAATCTCGATCACCTTGAATAAATCAGCACTGTACTGTTTTCCATCTATTCAAAGGCGTCCCATCTATTTTGTTTGGGAGAGGCTCAACAGTAAACGTGCTAATGAAATGAAACCATTTGAACAGCTCAGTAAAAGCACTATAAATCTATGAAAGGTAAATGTATTACTCCAGATGAAAAATGTAAAGGACCCAGCCTGATGGAGTTATCATTTTGTAAACTAAGACTGAGGTTTCATCCCAAAATGATTCATTATTTTCGTATTTAAAAGTTGTGTAATAAATCACTTTGATGGGGTAGTAGTAGTAGTCATTGTTTTGGAATATTTTCTTCTTGAAATAAATTTCTCGCATCTCTCTGTCAAGCCTTAAGGCAAACTCCTGCCCTCTGCTACACACTGCGTCGACTCATTTCAAATCACAGGGAGATACAACCACTATTATGACAACCATTATGTATCTCTCTTGAAGCTCAGCGGCAATATGATGCTTATTTTAGTTTTCCTTTTGATTGCATTCTCTTCTTCTTATTTTATTCATACACCACACCAAATGAACCAAGTGTTGAAATGAACTTTACAGACAGTGTTAAGCGTGGTAGTTTCTTTTTAATGTTAAGAGCAAATACTTTAAAATGTACAAATTCATATTTTTCATTTTTACAAAGAAACATTCATCTGTAATGTACAAGAAGTTGGTCATAGTGACAAACGCAGAGTATTATCACTTGATTCTACAGTTGCCTGTAGCCTAATAGGGTGTGTTTTACTGTCTTTCAGCTGATTGTTTTGGTTTTACAGCCCACAACTTTACATTACTGAGTAGCTGGTTCGCCCATTGAAGCCCATTGAATACCAGTCTAAAGAAACACTACTAACATTTCAAAAGAATGCCAATTATTTTTCTAAATTGAAGTCCTGCTTGAAGGAGATGCTTCAAAGATGGTCCCTGATCAAAAGCTTGCTTCAATGAATATTACTACATTTCAGTAAATTAACTTCAGAAGCTGGAACCTTTAGGTAGGAAAGAAATCATAGCAAAGACCTAAAAGTGAACCTGGGTATTTTTCAGCTTGGATCCTGCTTCCCCATGTTTTTGTGTGTAAGTGACTAGTGGGGACAACAATTTTTGAAATTGGTCATGTATTGATCTCGTGGGAGGTGAGTGAATGAGAGGTGGAGAGAGGAGTACCAGGAAGAGTTTGTTGTGTTGGAGTAAAGAAAGCATAGCTTGGTGTGATCGAAGACATTTTCAATATCATGGCTGAATATTTAGATGATTTCAACAATGTGGATGATACCCGCCAGTATTTGTCTGAGCATGTGGATGAAGAGCTCCTACGAATTGAACGGCAGTACGGGGAGAGAGAGGACAACAGGCAGAAGAGGATGAACCAGCAGCTGCAAGGCCACGAAGCTCGGGAGACTGGCGGTGTTCCTGTGGGTGCTGTGACCTGACGCCCACAGAGGAAGAGTGGGACCTGTTGCTGCCCCAATTCAGATTTCAGAATGAGACTTCTCCTGAACATGCAAAAGGTATGAATAGGGTTATTTTCCACAATGTTGTCTGACACTTACAATAAGAATCTGAGCAAGTCATTTTAGTAAACATCATGTTAGGTCGTTTTGCTACTGGCAGTTAAAGCGCTCTTGCTCTCAAAACTGGGCCGATTTTAAAAAGTTGTTGTCCCCATTAGTCATGAGTCCAGATTGACAAACATAGCATGATTTTTATCTTTTCATAGACTCGGCCTTCAGCAGCACTCAGCCAAAAAAGAGAAAAATAAGAGAAGCTCTGAAATATCAGTGGAACGCACTGAGAAATAAGGTTATAACTGCATATGATAACATTACATTGATACAATAAATGGCAAAATATTCACTGGGAAAAATGATCTCAAGCTAATTTCTAGTCTCTGTAAAAACAAAGCAAAAATTCAAGGATGAATTGATTGCCCTTTAAAGCATTATACAACTGTCAGCGTAACACTCAGATGCGTGATTGTCAAGCATCCACCCTCAGACTCCCTCTCAGCTTCCAATATGAATAGATAATTACACTGCGTCATTCATCTTTTTGCAGGTCTTGTGATGTGTTTCAGCTCATCCCACATCCCTAACGGTGTGTGAGTCAGTGTGGTCCAACACTATGTTACGCAGAGCCGAGCTGCCCTTTCTTGCTTTTTCTGGTGTTGATTCAGGCCCTCCTAAGTATTTTAACATTTCCAACACTGCCACAAAAGACACAAGAAAATCCATTTGTCATGTCCCTCGCAGTACAATTCATTATAGATGGGGCACTGAACCACTACAAAAGCAACAATTCCTTTAAAGGGTCAGCTTTACAGTTTTTTTCTGAGAAACCAATTTCAGAACATAATTAATCTTCAGGGAGAGATGTTTTGTGCTGTTTGGTAAAGGTGGAACTCTGTCTTTACGTAATTGAGGACGGATGATGCTTACAAAACCAGGGACTCTGAGAACTGGCTTTTTCACTTCATCGTACCTCAAACACATTTAAGGACAGATAACCTAAGCATTGCGTCCTTGGCAGAATAACTTCGGAGACCAAACTTAACTAAGACAACACGGAGATGGAGAATTAAACCGGAGTCTTGTATATATTGACTATTCAAATGTTTGAAAACTTTTTTTTCAACAAAAGTTCAAAATGGTAAATGTAAATACACAGATATATTACAGAACGAACTGTGATGCTTCTTTTTTGTGAGACAAACATAATCCACTAACCCTCATGCATACCCACATAGCCCATACTGAATTAAAAGACCAGTTGAGATTGATATTTTTATGGAGTGCCTTCCTTGCCAGGTATGCCACTGACAGCCAGTAGCACTTTAACTCCATTGAGGGGAAGAAATGTCTCTTAAAGTCAAAAGGGAAGGGATAAATAAAAAAAGTGGAGTCACTGGAAATGCACACACATACACACAGAAACTTTAAATTCACGGTTACAGGTCTTTTGCCATCACCGCAACTGGACCCATGCAAGAGAGACAGCTTTACCAGCTGCACCCTTTTCCTTTGTATTTACTCAGCAGTTGAAATAACATGAACGGCGACTAACATCCAGTGGGAACCAATTCTAACAGTAGCAAGCAAAGCTAACAGTCAGCCTGGCCTGCTGGTTTCCCCTTTCCTGGTGAAATACAAACATAAGCACACAAATGTTGAATGATGTCGCTAACAGTACATAAGCACCATTATGTGTCCTTTTTGAAAAAGATGAGAAAACATCTACACCACGTATAGCACGCCAAAGAAGTCAGAATGAGACTCTTAGTGCGGAGTGTGCAGAAAAGGTTTTATCTAATCTGCACAATAGCTGCAATATCATTGTAGTCTATATTTCCCCGTACAAAAAGTGAGGAGAATTAAGATACACTGTTTCTCTGTGGTGCACATCCATATGAGTCCTTTTCAGTAAGTGTACGAATTTAGGGATGGAGCCTTCATGTGCTGAGCAGCACATTACGATGCAGAACACATAAGTAGGGAAGATTAATGTCACTGTCCTGGCCTGTTTGACAAACACTCTCATCTCTGGATATTCTCTCATCCTCCCACTGATCAATTACCGACACTGCTGAGATCCGGGATAAGTGCTGCTGCTGCTGCTGTGTGTATCTACCAGTGCAGAGTGTGAATCTGGAGGACACTTCTGATGGCTTAGCACATTAAAAACATCTCTTAAGTTGGGTTTTATGTTGTTATTAAGAGCTCAAATTTACCTTAGTTTAGGTACTGAATATAACTTTCAGGAATAAACAGACAGATTTTCATCCGTTCCATGATTTATGCTCTAAACAAGAAGCTTGTAACGGCCTCGTGGTCAGCCAAATGCAACCACAGAGATCAGACGCAAAAACGTGTAAAGCATATGTACACACACGTGTGTGTATGTGAGACATGTTGCCAAACAGACAGCAGGACCAAGAGAGAGAGAGAGAGTGTATCATGAGAAAGCGGGAAGAGTGAGCAGAGGGAATGTGCACCGATTCATCTCCTCGCCAGGAGCAGGCAGGTACAGAGGTATGGCAGCCCTACAAGGTCAATATTTTACTTTGGCTTGTGCTCGCTAATTATATTACAGGCAAAGTGCCCCAGGAGAGCACATAGAGAGATATAGACCGCGCAACCCCTCCACCCAGCTCTGCAAGCCAAACAATTTGTAGCATTAGCTGAGACGTTGCCGTGTTTAGTCATTGCAACAGGGCTGATTCGCAGCAATTTCAACATATTTCAGGAGATCAGGGGTGTACTGAGGCACAGCACAGCAGCCGGGTAGGAAATGGAGATAAGAGTTCTTGTAGTGTGGAAAATATCTTCCCGTCTAAACTGAAATAGTAAACCACGAAAGTTCCCAAATCTCGAGGCAGGCTTAATGTGGAACATACTTTACTCTTGTGGCTTTGTTTGGCATCTGATCAGACCTTGACCAACCAATGTCTCACACAACAGTATAGCTTATGCATGTCAACACGTGTTTGTCTTCAGAGGGAATATCAAGCTTCAGAGAAGAGCTGTTGATGTGCATGACTGGTGTAAAATAGTCTCCTATGTTTATAGCAGGGCCTGGGGGGGGCGATGTCGCAAATCCACTCACCGTGTAGAATAATTAGTTTGAATCCCAGAACCAGATTGCATTTATTTGATCTGTGAAACAGAAATCAATACAACAGCAGAATCATGCAGCATATATTATATCACGGGGCAAATGCCTGCCGAAATATAAAGTGTATCTTCTTTAAGAGAGGGGGGAAGCACCCAGAAAGCACAGGTTAGAATAATGCAGCGCTGCCATTGGCTGAGCGCACCAGGAAGTCCATCCGCTGGTGCTGTCACATGCCTCTGACGCAGGGACTTCCCGAAAGTAAACAGCAACCGCGGAAACGCTCAACATGGCTCCCAAAGTTGAATTCACAAACGCTGCAGCGATCGTCTGGCTGACGTTTCTGTCTCTGATCCACCCGGCGGAGGCTTACGGTGCGGGCGACGCTTTAGCCCTGCTCCTGGGCACCATCCTGGCCGTGGTGGGTGTCTGCGCCTTCCTCGGCTGGTACGCGCGGAGGCGGAACGGACAGCTGTGAGAGCGACTGCCTTGCCATCACCAACCGCATTAATGCCTATCTATCTGATCTAATGCGGACTTTCTGGCACTATGGTTTGTGTCGAAGCGACTGGCAATACACGTGCCTTATTGGAATTAATGCGTCAAGCGCAACGGGAACCACGTGGAGTGTGTTGCAGGAGGTGGAGGGAGACAACCAGGAAGTCCCGAAACAGGAGCTGTAATTTGTTGCACTGCTGAAGCTGAAGACCAAACACTGTTGCCTTTATATATGAAAATACATGCTGTAGTTCCTGTGTATTGTCACAAAGATGCTTGCAGTGTATAATGCGCATATTTCCCATGCTTGGTGTGATCACTGTGATTTCCTGATGTGTTCATGTCTGCAATGTGACAAGTGTAATTACATGAGAAGAGTGGAGCTGTTGTACTTGCCGCTGTTAGAACATGCGACAGTAGCTCTGAGAATAATAAATTGCTCATCTGATGCTCTTCACAGCTTCTGGTTTGCTTGATGTATGAATGATCTGCTGTGTAATCACATCTCTACTCTTCTTTCATTTAGGTGTGGATAGAGTGCTTTCAAGCCCAGACAATTTGCCCTAATTGAACTCTAGGTTTTTATGACAGACTACCATACAAATGTTTAAAAATGTAAGCCTCCACAAAGGCTTAGGGCAGTGATGCAATATCCTCAACTTAAGGAAAAATAGCAATATGATATAATATAAAAATATTATTAAATATATAAAATATTAAAAGTTATAGCCCAGCATTCAATGTTGGACAGTAGTATTATCAGCAAAATGTAATTAAAGTATCAAAATTAAAAGAAAATTTCACCTGTGTGACATTATATAAATTGTTCATCCACTGGTTCCGAACCTAAAGGGGTCAGGCCCCTCTTAAGGGTTGCAAGATTAGTCTGAGGAGTTGTGAGATAAGGAATTGGAAAGAAGAAGAAGAAAAAAAAATGATTTATCTCTTTGGGCCTCAAATACTTAAATATTTAAATGAAACCATCAGAGAAGTTAAGAGAGGAACCGTCTCTTTGGAAAAACTGAAAACACATGTAATACATCTGTAATGTGACACGGGCTCCAAGTAGACATTTCTGTTTTGGGGTTACAAGCCAAAACGATGGGATCCACTTGTTTAATCTTCGACAATGTCTTGTAATTTATTATTTATATTCTTCATGTAAATTCTAACCGCTGACTCTTGCTGTCAGATAAATGTGGTGTTGTAAAAGATTGAATTACTGAACTTCTGTAAATGTATTTCCACTGCAGCTAATATAATAAGCTATATGTATACATTATATATATGTATATGTATACATATATATGTTTTTGTATGGAAAACTAAAATAATTATGATCATATATACTTAAAGTCATTATTTGAACTTGGAATGATATAAAATTGTTGACATTAGATTAATCTGGATGGCCATAAAATAGTTTATTTTGCAATGAAATGAATGATTCAGCCTCTACTGTATCTAATGTGACCGTTTGTATTAATTATCAATGAGTAGTCTGTGATATATGGTAAACTGGGAATGAAAAGGAGCCGGTTCTCAGCCGCATTCCTTTGTAATCATAAACAAAAGGAAATCTGCACATCGTCCCCTGTACCATGTTGAAGTTGTAACACACACATTCCCTACACGTATGACCAAAACAAATCATCTATTTTTCAGCCCAGGTATATGACAGCGTCTCAGTGTGTGTACACTTGTGTACAGGTGGCTGATTGAATCGGTGTTCCCTTGTTACGCTGCTCATGACATCCCTTCTCTCCATACATGGCTGAGAAATCAAATCCTATGAATTTATCATGCTGCCCTGGCAGAATGAACAACGGTGCCCAAAGTGCTTGTCAATTATGTATATACAGGAGAAGTCATTCTACCTTGAGGTGAACTAGGCTGCCTGATTTAACCCTTCACTTTCTACATAATGGGGACATTTGTGTAGAGTGAAACATGTATGAGCATGAAGGCAGAGAGGGAGGTAGTCTCCAAGTAGAATTCAGCTAATACATCTGAGACAGACGCCAAGCAAAAGGTCTAACAGGGAATAAAGCACTGTAACAAAAGAGTAGCAGGCAGATAATGAGCCACATTTAGCTTTTGTATATATTCAAATTAATCTGAAACAGTGGTGTGTGTGTGTGGGGGGGCGATTAAGATGCATTTTTTTTATCTGGACTCTACTGGTGAAGCTGCCAGTAAAATAGGTATCCCTTACGCTACACGGGAAATAATGAGTATCCAACTGCTGTAACGCGTTACCGGCCAGCAGCGGCCCGTTGAGCAGATGTTACCAAGAGAGAGGGAGCTGCTGCTGCTGCTGCTGATGCTGCTGCTGCTGCTGCTGCAACAAGAGACAAGACGCGTCTTGGATCACAAATAGGGATGCAGGGCGCATGCGCACTGGGCTCCCTTTACTGTAGGATATTCACCGTGGAGGAAAAAAAAAGGGGGCAGGCAACAAAACAGGCTTTTTAAAAACAGCAAAACCCCGGCGCGTGCAATGTAAATAACCTCCAGGAGGGAGACGAAATAGGATTATCAACAGGTAGGATTTCGATTGATCTTATGATCGTCTGTCTGTCTCTCGCTCTTTCTCTCTCTCTCTCTCTCTCTCTCTCTCTCCTTTTTTTTTTTTGGCCTTGGCTTGTGTGGTGGCTGCGATTCTGGGCAATTCATAGAGGGGACCTGGGAATTATTCTAGTCTAATGGACGTACGGATCCGCTACACTGTTATGCTTCATCCAGCCGATTGGGACGCGAGGACGATGCTTTTTACCTGCCGTGCTTTTTCACCAAAATCGGTCGGATTCAGACGCGCGTAGAACACTCGACCGACAATCGGAGGACACATTTAGAGACGCGTAAGTAGACACAAACGCCAATGTTCATGGAATCAGATGTTACCACATGCTATGTGTCGTTTCCCAAACAGTAAAAAACATAGATATCGAGTATAACAACCCGTAATATTATTACCAGCAGGTTTGTTATTATCACTTCCAACCACCCATATCGGGTAATCACACCCGCGCACTAACAAGCCCAATATATGTCGAAATGCGTCTCTGGTGTCAGTATCATACACTAATACTAATACTAATACAACAGATGATCTGGAAAATCGTCAGGCTCAATAAACGCCTTAATGGGAACACTGCTTATTAACGTGAGACCAGTAATCCGGTTAACCTTTATTCAAGCAAAAAAAACCCACGAACGCTTTATTATGTATGCACCCTCCGTCGATCTGCCACAATGCACGAAGGCAGGGCGAGTTTATTCGAGGCATCCGCCGCTTTAGAGAGCCGTCCTCTGTGCTGCAGGGTGTAGGGTGTGATCAAGAAGAGCTTATTTTGGACTGCATTTCTCTTAATGTTCACTGTGCGCTGAAAAAATGTATCCCACTCCAAAAAAAAAATCGAACCAAACCGAGCCTTTTTTTGTTGTCTAAACCGTTGCTTTCCGAGGGGTAGAGATGCGTCGTTTCTTAATGAAGGCTGGGCTGTGCTTTTTGCCATCTTTTGTTCAGGAAATTCCAAAGCCACCAGAAAGAATTGTACCAATGTAATAGATTGATGCTTTCATCTTATCAAGCTCAATCACTGCTTGTCTGTCTGTCTGGATCTAGACAAAGTATTCAAGCTGAGACAGAGCTCTTCACTGTGTCACTCTAGATGTTAAAATGTTCAATAAATAAATAATGGCAGACAGAAGGAAATTAGTGCTTATCTCATTCTAGATAGTCAATGTGCAGTTGAAAACAATGCAGCTGTTGTGTGGGACTGAATGCTGATGGGTGGATAATATTTTTCAGTTCTTTTTTTTTTTTTTTTTTTCTTTTTTTTAGGTGTGATGAGACAAAGGAACAAAGGATGCCTTAGAGGAGAGGTTGCCTATATGCCTGGAAACCTCTTCAAAGCCCACCGCCAAATGGATCTAACGCCTCCCCCTGCCACCTCTAGATCATGATACTTGGCTGAAGCTATTCCGCTATCTTTATGATCCCTCCTCCATCTATGGCGAACTATAGCCATGCAGGGGACCACACCATCTTGCAGAATGTCTCTCCTCTCGCCACGTTCCTCAAACTGACCTCTCTTGGTTTCATCATTGGAGTCGGTGTGGTTGGAAACCTCCTAATCTCCATCCTGCTGGTCAAAGACAAGAGTCTGCACCGAGCGCCCTACTATTTCCTGTTGGACCTGTGCGCCTCTGACATCCTGCGCTCTGCCATCTGCTTCCCCTTTGTCTTCACCTCGGTCAAGAATGGATCCACCTGGACTTATGGCACGCTGACCTGTAAAGTGATTGCCTTCCTGGGTGTGCTCTCCTGTTTCCACACAGCGTTTATGCTGTTCTGTGTCAGCGTCACACGCTACCTGGCCATCGCACACCACCGTTTCTACACCAAGAGGCTGACCTTCTGGACCTGTCTAGCTGTCATCTGCATGGTGTGGACGTTGTCGGTGGCTATGGCGTTCCCGCCGGTGCTAGATGTAGGGACGTACTCTTTTATCCGGGAGGAGGACCAGTGCACATTCCAGCACCGTTCCTTTAGGGCGAATGATTCGCTGGGCTTCATGCTCCTGCTAGCGCTCATCCTCCTGGCCACGCAGCTGGTTTACCTCAAGCTCATCTTCTTCGTCCACGACCGTCGAAAGATGAAGCCTGTCCAGTTTGTGCCTGCTGTCAGCCAGAACTGGACCTTCCACGGGCCTGGCGCCAGTGGGCAGGCGGCGGCCAACTGGCTGGCCGGATTCGGTCGAGGCCCCACCCCGCCTACCTTGCTGGGCATCCGGCAGAACAGCAACGCAGCGGGCCGCAGGCGTCTACTGGTGTTGGATGAATTCAAAACAGAGAAGAGGATTAGCAGGATGTTCTACATCATGACGTTTTTCTTCCTGGCGCTGTGGGGGCCCTATCTGGTCGCCTGCTACTGGCGGGTGTTTGCAAGGGGCCCTGTGGTCCCTGGGGGCTACCTGACGGCCGCCGTGTGGATGAGCTTTGCCCAGGCTGGGGTCAATCCTTTCATCTGCATCTTCTCCAACAGGGAGCTCCGGCGCTGCTTCAGCACCACACTCCTCTACTGCAGAAAATCCAGGTTACCAAGGGAACCCTACTGTGTTATATGAAGGTTTTGCTGTGGGTTTTTTCTCCTCTGTCTCTATTGCCCTGATTGATCTTGATCTGGGCTCGTTCCCATTGTACAGCGCGCTCTCTCTTCTATCTCTCTTCTCTTCATCCTCCAGTTTTCCTGCTGTTCCTCCTTCTCCTAACCCTTGTTTTCAGAGGTGGAAGGTGGACTGTCAATCACGAGGCTCTGCCGGGATGATTGAATATGAAACGAATCAAACATGGAGGCTGAAGAGAATGGGAATGCGCAGGAGGTCTGGATCCCCTCCTGTGTTTATGTTCTAGTAAACAGACATTTTGGAAGGCCATGCCAATGCAGAGAAGCA